CTTCGTGCTCGTGCTTCGATCTCCAGATCTAGATCTACTAATTCACCTGGGTTTCTTTTGGTCATAAATAAAAAACTAGAAAAATAAATCAGTACTTGCCGTTAGTACCCAGCAACGGCGCCAATTTGATAACCGTCGTTTTGCTATCAAAATAATTCCTGGCTTCTTAATAAATAAAAATGAAAAGGTAGTATAGAGAAACAGGGTCGATCCACAGAGACTGTGGTGTTTCTGATTTAATAAAATTGTTTCTTGTTTTTAAAAGAAGATAGAATTCTAGATTAAGTTGAAAAAATATATATTAAAATAAAATAATATAATAAAAAATAAAAATAATATAATTATAAATATTAATAGTAATAAATATAAAAGAGGGGGATTTTTTAAAAGTTGTTTTTAAAATAAAAAATAAGAATTAAATAAAAGAATTAATTAAATAAACAAATTAAAGAGATTGAGATAAAGGGAAACTTATTGTGAAAGCAGCCTCAGACTTCAGCTTCGTCTCAAATTCCTCGGATCATCGAAACAGATTTTTACTTCAAGATTCACATCGGTTACTGCAAGAACAATTCTTCGATGCCAACTCAGATTGTTTCGTTTCAACAATAACTGATTCCGATCTCAGTTTCCTCTTTGCAAACAATTTTGCTAAGTGTGTTCTCGGGAAGTTGAATATGCTTCAATAAGCAAATCATTCTTCAAACGTTAACCATAACAATATCCGGACCAATGTCGAAATCGTTTCGATTTGAAAAGTAAGCTCAGAAAATAGAGCGAAAATCCGAAGCGATTTAAGTACCTTACAATTCTCACGTTTGGAATTGAGCCTTCGCTTTAATCTTCGACTTGAAAGAAAATTAACTAAGCATGACCAAAGTTATACTTAGCATAATAGAAAAGTATGCGAAAAATAGAGAGAAAGCTAGAGAGAAAAAGAAGATTTTATTCTCAAATGAGAGAGATATGTTTCTAGGCTCACCCTTAGAGGGTATTTATTGCCTTCAAATTCCTAAAAACAAGCTAAAACATCTTAAATCCTAATTAAAACACTTAAAACTATTTAAACTAAAATACCTAAAAAATAATATAATATTCTAAATCCTATTAAAATACTAAAACATATTTACACTAAAATACCTAAAACAAAGATAAAATATAAAAATAATATCCTAAAACTTAATTAAAATACTAAAACCTATTTAAACTAAAATACAAAGATAAAATATATTGTTTAAAATATTATCCTAAACTTGAGTTTAATTCAAATCCGAATTCCAACCAACTTTGATTCTGAAAATAAAAAAAAATCTGAAGAATTATGTCATTTTTATGCAATTTTCAGAATCTTACGTCATGTTCAGAAAATGAATTAAAATAAACAAATAAGCCACAAAAATCAATGATTAAAGAGTAATTTAAAAGTAAAATATTAACTAAAATTAGCATTTATCATGGTAAAACCCAAATTGTCGCAAAACTCTATCGGCGGCATGGAACTCTACAATTGTGAAACGGAGCAATGGTGTTACCACACACCATGTCTCCGCTCATTCTAAGAACATTGGCGGTAGACACCGTTGGATATTCGACTCATAATAAGGCATCCAATTAAATTGTCAAAAGTATTATGTTAGTATAATTAAAAAATTAATATTACAATTTCAAAGTTAATGCAAAAAATATTAAAATTTATCGTATGTCAATAGACAATATCAATTCTCATTCGAATATCTACTTTGGTTGCACCCGACAACTTTGTATCTGTTATTCAGTGTCTCCATCTAAAAAATTACGTTATTTATTTTTATTTTCAAAATATTTAAATAAATATTATAAAATATCAAAACTTTAAATATATGAATTTACCTTGCGGCGAGAGGAAACTCAATAGGAGCGGATGTAATAGGCGTCATAAACGGGAGATGATACCATGCCCATGATTGGAGCAAAACTAAACAACCCGCTACATCCGCTTTTTTTCCTCTAACGACTACGGTCGCCTTACATAGTTCACGATACAAAAAAGCCAAAATTGCAGAACCCCAACTATATTGGCGACATACAGTGAAATCCTCAATTACCAGAAGATATTGGGTGTGCACCAAATTTCCCGATTTATCAGGCAGCAAGATCCCTCCAATCAACGTCATAAAATATATTCGAGCTGCATATATCACCTCTTGCTCCGTTGATTGTTCATATACTCTAAATTCTCTTTCCAACCACGTCATCCGTATTTACAACCCATCAATGACATCGGCTTGAGCCTCCTTTCCCAATAAATTTGAAATAACAACATTTAGCGAATAAGTATTGCGAAGCACCAATGGAATACCATGACATTTTCTAGGCTTCCTCGCCCATGTAGGGTGTTGGAAAAAAAATTTCCCATATAGGGCTCTAACCAAATTATTTCTTGAACTGATGTGTTTGCTACAGTGCTCCATAGGTCGCCAAGTGCTCCTTGCGACAAAGCCTCATCTGTTGCAGCAACTCTTCCCTCTTCCCTCGTTGTTACAGCTACATAGGTCGCCAAGTGTTCCATAGGTCTTCAAATACTCTATAGGTTCGTCGTGTGCTCCTGGAGACCTATGGTGGTTGCCGTGTGCTCCTGGAGACCTATGGTAGTCACTGTAGCAATCACCTTACTTAAGCAAATAATTGTTCGACTGCACTATATGAAGAATTTTTTTTTTCATTGCATTATTCAACCACTTTTGCCTATTTTTTGTTACATACATTTAATGTTATATTTTTTCGTCAGCAGAAGAAATCTATAATTTGTTACTTACCATCATCCTTTTCTGCCTATGGAATTGAAATAATTAAAAAATGCAATGCTTAGTAATTAATGATGCCCGTCAATCAACGAAGTGAAGTATTATAATATAAAAGAGATATTTCTCTCTCTCGGGAAATTCTATCGTATATCAATCTTAATATACGGTTAAAAAAAATATCGTTGGTTTTGTTATTATTTTTTAATAAAATCGGTAAAAAATTAATAGAAACATTATTGTTTCTACCTAAAACATTAATATTTTTTAACATTTCCTGTAAAGTGTCCAATAATAACAAAACCAGTAAAAAAATAACAAAATTGATATTACTTTACCGGATATGTTAACAAAACCGATAAAGCGTCCAAAAACAACAAAACCGACAGAAATAATAATATTTTTAATAATTTTTTTTATTAATTTTATTAAAAAATAATAACAAAACCATTAACATTCAACTTTTCTCTCTCTTACTTTAAATTTTATGAGTAAAATGTGTGAATGAGGTTAGTCTTAGACATTGCCGAATTACTATTTTTACTGATTCCCTTCCCCATACATGTAGAGTTTCCACAATGAAAGCAACTTTTTTTTAATCATTTCTTACTTGATTATACGCACGAGTGACGTGAGACATACAGCATTTAGCTCACGTGTTTTTTACTCATCGATTATCTTTTGGATTTTTTAATCAAAGATTAAGAATCCTACGTCGGACGAAATTCCTATTTTGTGAATACGGTGTCGGTCTCATCATTCATAAAATGCATAATAAAAAAAATAAAAGTAAATTTTACTTCGAAAAATGATTTAGTGTATAAAAAATTTTATTAAAAATTAGTGTTTAATATTTTTTTGGTTATATTTTTTAGGTGTCTCGTTATATTTTAAATTTTTAGTAAAAAAGATTATTTTTAATTAAAAAAATTAAAAATTTAATTTATTTATAAAAAACCCCAAAATTTAATGAAATTGAAAAAAAATAAAAAAATTAAAATATCTCATTTCAATTTGTTACCAACTGTGAAATGTCGAAGGACACCGACGAGGATGGGTTTTGAACAGAACTATATGGTGGTTCGAATGGTGGTGACGGCGTGGCTTATGGATGTAGGGATCAACTAGAATTAACGAAAAACATCGATGGTGGCTTAAAATCCGACAAACCTTTAAACAATTCTCCACGATAAACGGTGGCATGTTACGATGAAAAATCAACAAGGGTTTGATTGGGAGTCGACGTCAGTACTGATGATGGTCACTGTCGGCCGGCCTGGCATAAAGGGGGAAGTGGGGGAGGGGGAAGGTTGGGGTGCCTGCTGGTTATGGCTTTTTTTAACAAAATAATATTTTTTTTAAATAAATTATCAAAATATGACACGTGTCATTTAATAGTAATTTTTAATGGCGGACACATAAAAGTATAACGTTAAAAATATTAGACACTTATTTTTAACGAAAAAATCTTTAAACACTAACGAAACAAAGTTAGAGCTCTTATTTTTGTATTAAGCCTCCATAAAAACACAAGTTGAGATGGATAAAAAAAATGTGAGAGGACCCACAAATAATTTCCAGGAAATTGCAAGGAGATTTGGGAATGATTAAATGGTTAGAAAGGAATCATGAACATAATTTCCATGAATAAACAAGCATATAAATCTGGTCATTTGGAAACACAATAAAGTGCCATCTCTGGAATGTCGTGTTCACATTTACAACTTCAGCATTGTCTACCTTAAATTGAACCGGTAGATTTTGATAATTCATTCTCTGTAATTCCAATGTTGAAATAAGTAATGGTAGGGGTCATATCAGAATTGTTTTGCAATTGCATTGGGCAACTTGGTTGAGACGGATCAAATCATTTATCAAATGTGAAGTTTGCAAACCAATACTGGTATTTTGTCTGGAGACATACATTTTGATGATGTTAAGAGAAAAATTACGAACATGAGATTGGTTTTATTAATCATAACTTTTCCCACCCTCCATTGATGATACAATCCAATTTATTGCTTAGCTTGGGATCTCCTCCTCCCTCAACTTTCTATTTTCCCACAAAATTCATACCATGCCTTGCCGGTTGCTTATTTTTCTTTTCTTTACATATCTGACTGACCATACACAGCATTTTCCGGGAATATTCCAGTACCATACAAAAAAAAAAAAGAACCACTCACATTCCCATATTGCAAAAAGTAACCCTGAGAGTTAACATCAACACTGCAAATTGCAATTTCAGTTACATATAATGTATTTGAAATTTAGGAATATATATAATATGTATTACATGCTCCATTGGTCCAAGTCGTTGATGCTTATAGTATAATCAAACACCAACTGATATTCTTGACATGAAATTTTGAAATTTCAGGGGGGGGAAAGAAGTTAACAACACTAGGGAAATTCAACTTGTTATTCACAAGGCAAATTCTTTGACTTCTTTCAAATCTCCATTGTAAGTTCAATGGAATCTCACTTATTCTCAGTCCTAATCACCCACTTGAGAAAAAAAACGTGCTTGGTGATGATGACGAAGATGCCATTGCACTATATGATCTTTGCCTGAAATAATCCAATGACATTCGCGGCGGAGAAACTGCCACTGTTACCGATGAGGAAGACTGAACTCTAGAATCCGGCGGTGGTGGTGACCCTATTAATATCACCAAAATAAAACATCACATGTAATGCCGGGAAGCAACCTAAACAAAAAAAAAAGTATATTTACAAAGAGAAGCTTTCTGAAAAGGATTGTACTTTGGTGGTTATCAGAGGAGGAATGGCGCCCATTTTCAAGCTTCACCTGCTTTTCTTGATTATTGGGATGGTGGTGCTGTTGTTGAGATTTTCGCCTTCTACGATTATGATCGGCTAATCTCTTCCGACAGCTACGTTTTCCGTTGTCGAACTCTGATAGAAGATGGAATCTGTACGAAAGTTAATGATGGCGGTTATTATTAGGCTTAGCTGTTTCTGTACCTAAAGACAATAGTTAGTTTGAAAATATAAGCACTATGGTCAGCTCAATCATCATCCATAAAATAATATGAGATATAAACACTACAAGCAGAAACAAAAGATGGTGTTTCTGTATTCTAACAATATTAAATGTAACGTTTCAGCTAATACACTAACATCCTAAGTAGCACAGAAAACGGTACGTAAATGGAAAGAGCACGGAGCTTTTACGGACACATATACCCTCGGGAGCACCCCATGTACGGGTAGCCAATCATGGGTCTTCACAGACATATACAAGGGTAGTTTTGTCATCCGAAACATCATCACTATTGATTGATTATTACTACAAAAATGGGAAGTGGCATTTTGGTAAAATTTTCCCAACCTGCTGCACTGCTGGCAGAATCGTTGAGTCAAGCCGGCGGCGATGACAGTGGAGGCCTTTGAATGGAACTCGCAAACTTTATGTCGGCGATGATAGTGCTTAGCGTTGCTAAGATCGGCATTGCAACCCTCGGCTTGACATCTAGGGGAGTTGGTTGAACTGGGATCTCCCGGTCTAGACCTGCGACTGCGATAAAGCCGGTTCACAAAGTCATCCTCAGCAGAGGAAAAATACGTACGGCCACCTAAGTTGAGACCAATCCTTGCTGTAAAGTCAACATCTCTGGACACTTGCTCAGTCTTAGGAACCAGAAAGTAACCGCCTCCTCCGGTACCGGAAACAGGATCCAGGGAGAGCAAAGAAGAGTGGGGTGTTGAGTAAACAGACGTGCCGGAGTAGGTGCGTGGGTCGTACAGGGAGTGTAGATAGGCGTGGGGTTGGGAATGAGTTTGATCTTGGTTAGGGTTATGGAAAGGGTTTTGGTGAGCGAAAACAGCGTTGTGCTGGTGGGAAAGGAGAGTTTCGTTGAAAGATTGCTGCTGGGTCGCCGCGTTGGTAACATAGTGATCGAAAATATGACCATCTGGCTCGGCTTCCTGGTTAGGCTCTTCACCTGATAATATTATCGCTGTGGGGTTTCCCCATTCATAATTCAACATCTTTTTCGACAAAACAACTCTTTGTCTTCCCTTGTTCCGGCGACGTTTTGTTTGTCTGTATGATGCAACTAAGGGTCTGTAAACAACAAAGAATAAAAAAGAAAAAAATATGGAAATGTGTCAGTTTTCATGTATACTAGATAATTAAGAAGAGAAAAAAAAATGGTTTAGGGGATTTTAAAGGTTAGGTTTTTATGAAGTGTTGCATGAGGGGAGGGGAGGGGAAATGTTTAGAGATAACCTTAATGTGTTACAAGCAGTGGGTGGAATTTTCGAAAACCTACCTCAACTTGTTATTCCCAAGGATGATGCTCTACGGCAGAGCTGCTCGACTTCTCTTTTGGAAAGGTTCTTGATCTCTGGTCTCTTAAAGCTCTCTCATTTTTGTTTTAGTGTTGAGCTTAAAGCACATTGGTTTATAATACCAACTCTCCCCCTCTGTCTGTTTGTCTCTAAAAAGCCAAGTTTGGGTTAGCTGTTTCTCTACGGTCTGTATGCAAGAAGCTGGGTAATTAGGCGGCTTGTGCAGAGGTAAATGATGAGTTTGCGAAGAGGAAATTATGGTTTAACCCAAACGATGGTGACGGCTGTGGGGCCACAATGAAATTCAGGTTCGCTTTGGCTTAATCCATCCCTAGTGGTTTCCTTTCCTAGTCAAACTAGTTAGGAAATTGGGGCATTGCTAATGACCGTGTGTGGTCGGTTTCCTTTCCTGGCAGCGTAATGCCAAGGGATGCCTTCTGGTCCCACTTATCTCTGTCTGTTTGATCAGAAAAACGATCATCATTCCTACTTCTCTCCTACTTCTCGTTTTACTTGTTAGGTTTATCTCTATCCTCTATCAAAATTTTTTTAATGCAGATGATTTTGGACTGAAATTTGTGGAATTTAAACAATACTTTTCCTTTTTGCTTTTACCTTGAATGTGAGCGCAAACGAAAAATGGACGAGGATTTGGGTAATTAGTTGTGGTATTTTGATTAACTGCTTATTTCTTTTTGAAAATTAACTGCTTTATTTCACTGATGTGGCACGAGACAATAAATTAACGAAAGAGAAAATAATATCAGTGGCCGAAAATTTCTTATAATATACGATTTTGACTAATTTTTTTTCGATTTGCCAAAACGACCAACAAAATCGCAATGCGATCTCTAAATCGTAACGCGATCTCCAGTATCGCAAATCAGTTTCCAGATTCGCAACGTGATTTTGACTATCGCATTGCGATTTTCCAAATTCGTGTTGCGATTTTAGAAAATCGCAATGCGAATATGTAAATCGCAACGCGATAATATATAATCGCAATGAGATTCTGACTTTCGCAACGCGATAATACATAACCGCAACGTGATTCTGACTATCGCAATGCGATTCTGACTGTCGCAACGCTGAATTTCAAATTCGCAACAGGTTTTAGTTTCGCAACACAAATGTTTTGGGTATATAACTACGCAGCAGCAACAACTCATAACCTAAATCCCTAAATCGCAACTCATTCCATCTCCATCTATCACTCTCTCCGGCGACATTTGTTCCTATATCCAACGACATCCTTCCCCATCCGACAACAGGTTTTAGTTTCGCAGCTCGTTTGTTTAGTAAATTAATTTACAATAATGAAATCATCTAATGTTGATCATGTTTGGATAGATTTGTGTTTTGGAGGGTCATGGGAGAATGTTCATGGTGTTTTACAATATATGTCTTTACCCATGAATCTTCAACTAAAACTGTCATTAAAAAAATTAACTTATGAAACTTTAATGTTACGTGTTGCAAATAAATTGAATTTAGAGCCCTTAAGTGGATTTAGGCTATCTTATCAGAGAAAATGTAAAGTTTATTTGTTAACCGACAATGAAGATGTTGAATGATTCATTGCTTACATTAGTGTTTCGCAAGATGATGTTACATTGTATGTTGTTGAACCTAGAAGTAGTGAAGTTGGGTCAGTAGCGGGTAGTAATCAACTAAGTTTTTCAACCCCAGTTTATGGTGCTCAAAATTTAATGGTTCCACCACAATTTCATCACCAAGCAAATTTTGTTTCACCACATTTCCAATACCAAACACAATCTCAAAACCCACAACCTTTCCCTAATCCAAATCCCAATCAACTTTCAGCACCAAATTCCGGTTTTCGTATTGACCAGTTAGACGATGATGAGCCAACAGAAAAAATTGTGAGTACTAGTCAGTATTCTAAATTTGATCTTGGTCAATACCCGGACTTTGATCTTGGTCAATACTCGGATTTTGATGATGTTTCAGAAGAAGAAACAGACCCTGCGTGCAATGATTTTGATATTGGTCAATACCCAAATTTTGATGATGAAACAGCCACTGCCGAGGAACATGTTGTTGATGATAATGAGGAGGAAGTTACGACTACGAATGAACATGTTGAACATCCATTCTGTAATTCATATAACCCTGAAGAAGAAAAAGAAGAAGAAGAAATCCTCGAAGAAAAGTCCCCGAAGAAAATGCCACGGGAGTATAACTGGAATATGCCAGAATTACTTCAGATACCTGAAGAAGAGTTGGTAAAGATAGCAGTTGATTGTTACACAAAAATTATTCGTATCAAGAAAGATGATTGTTTTGATACAAAGGAAGACTTGAAGATAGCTTTGTATACGAAATGTGTGGAAGATGGCTATCAACTAAAAGTTAACAAATCAAGCAAAGATCGTTTTGAAACAAGGTGTATGATTGACAAAAACTATTGGCGTATGATTGCAAAGAGGATAAAAGATTGCGAAATGTTTCAAGTTAGGACTTTTATTGATAAACATACATGTTCAAGAACCCAAGTTTTTCCTCACCATAGACAGGTAAACAAAAAGGTGTTGGGTGGTTTTCTGGCTGAGTTAATGTTTTTGAATGGCATGGTATATCGGGGACATGAAATATGACTGACATGAATGCTCGGTTCAAGATTAGTATCTCATATTCTCAAGCTTGGAGAGCCAAATGTTATGCCTTGGAATTGTTGAGGGGGTCGCCAGAAGCATCGTTTGCCCAACTGCCGGCTTATTGTCACAATTTAAAGCTGAAAAATCCTGGGTCGGTAACTCATATCAAAACAGATAGAGATGGATGCTTTGAGTTGCTGTTTATCGCCATTGGTGCTGCAGTTAGTAAATCAATATAATTTTGTTGACTCATTTTTGTTAGTTACATGCATTTCACATTTAAATGATTATATTTCTTGTGTATATGATTTTGTAGATTCGTTCGTTTATTACTTGCATGGTCCCAGTTATTATAGTTGACGGAGCACATTTAAAAGGTCGATACCTTGGAGTAAACTTATTAGCAGTAGCCATAGATGCTAACAATGGGATACTGCCAATAGCTTACGGGGTTGGCAAATCTGAAACCTCTGATTCATGGACATGGTTTATGGGGCATATTAGGGATTGCATAGGTCCTATTAGCAATCTGACAATCATATCCGATAGGGCAAACTCAATTGACAACGTTGTTAGAAGGTGTTTCCCAGATGCTTTTCATGGACTTTGTGGTGTTCATTTGTATAGAAATCTAAAATCAAGGTCTGCTAGTATAAAAAATCACAAATGGATATACTGGAAGGCTGTAAAAGCTTATCGGGAAGTGGATTTTAATAAGTATATAAATTGTTTAAGACGTGTTTTGCCTCAGTGTGCTCAAACACTAGAAGATGTCGGGTTTGAAAGATGGTCAAGAGTACATCAACTTGGAGCAAGATATGGTTTCATGACGTCTAATAGTGTAGAATCAATCAACGCTCTAAGTCGTCATTTCCGGAAATTACCCATTACTATGTTAATGGAGTTTTTTCGAGCCTCTATTCAACAGTGGTACTACAAGAAAAGAAACCATGCAGGTATTATTTCTTTAAATTCGTAACTTATCATATATTTTACTAAGTATTATTTATTTAAATTTACAGGAACATTGGAACATCGTGTTACACCATGGACTGCAAAAAAGATAACGAAACGTGTTGTGAAGTCAACGTCATGGAGAGTTGAACCATGTTTAAACACTTTGTTTGAAATACTGGATAATAACTTAAATGGGTTTGTCGATCTAAATGCAAAGACGTGTAGTTGTATGAAATGGCAAACAACTGGTTATCCGTGTGGCCATGTTATAAAAGTTGCTCTTCATCTAAACCAAGATGATTCAAACGCATACGCTATGGATTGCTACACTACAGAAGTATATCGACAGACTTATACCGAGATTATCTACCCTATTCCACATCCTTCTAAGTGGGACATACCAGATGACTTACAAACAGTTTTGCCACCAGCCATGGACAGAAGGCTACCTGGCCTACCAAAAAGTCACGATCGTATACCGTCTAAGGGTAAAGAAAAGAAGATATCGACATGTAGTCGGTGCAAGGAAAGTGGTCATACAAGGTTGACATGTGGATCACCAGTGCCATCACAAACATCTTTTCCTCTACCAAATATGGATCCTCATCAAAATCCAAAGCTCATATGGTGTCAAGAAAAAGGTAATCAAAATCGCAATCAAAATCAAAATCCCAATCACAACCGGCTTCACATTTTGGGACTATTAACTTAGGTGATTTTTAAATGCAAACGTTGTATTATGTGTATTTTATGTGTAAACGTTTAACATTTTCAGTTAGGCATGTATTAGTAACTTGAGTTTGAACATTGCTATGATTTGTTCAGTTGTTATCACTTATTACACATTCATTTGAATATCGCAACGCGAATTTGACTATTATGTGTATTTTATGTGTAAACTTTTAACATTTTCAGTTAGGCATGTATTAGTAGCTTGAGTTTGAACATTGCTATGATCTGTTCAGTTGTTATCACTTATTACACATTCATTTGAATATCGCAACGCGAATTTGACTATCGCAACGCAAAAATCGCAACGCAAATTTGACTATCGCAACGCGAATTTGACTATCGCAACGTGAATTTTATTATCGCAATGGGAATTTGACTATCGCAACGAGAAAATCGCAAAGCGTATTAGACTATCGCAATGCAAATTGACTTTCGCGTTGCGATTTTGAGTTTAGCGTTGCGAAAGTTTACCTTCAACAGGTCTTTTGCCTTCAATATGGTGCAGATTGAAATCAACAAATCAACTTTTACATTTCAATCAATTAAATAAGCACAAATAAGAATTATTTACACATCAATTAAACAAATCAACTTTTACAAATCAATTAAAAAGCACAAATAAGAATTATTTACACATCAATTAAACAAATCAACTTTTACAAATCAACTTTTACAAATCAATTAAACAAGCAAAAAATGCTAATAATTCTTATTTTCCTCATCAGTTAAACAAATCAGACTTTTAAGAATCAATTAAACAATCAATAAAAGTGTACCCT